TTTAATAACCGCGTTTGGGAAGATGGATCATACAAGAAAAAATAGATAAGCATGAAAATAATGTGTAAATATAGATAGTAGTCACTAGTGCTTCTATCGAACTTTGAATAAATGGATATTATAGACTATTATAGGCAAATTCCTTCTCTTATAAAATATATATTTTCTAAGCAGTTTGTGAACATGACAAAAAGGAAAAGTTCTTGACAATAAGAAGTAAAACAACTACACATAGAGAAAAAGAGAACGTCTACGGACTTCCGATCAATATTTGAAATCCAAATAATCACACTGTGTTATCTGGTTAATAAGGTGCCAATGATTCAAAAGTGAAACTAAAACTGAACTTTTTTGAAAATTCGTCGATTTCTCCAAAAATGGACTGTCTTCAAAATCACCCAATTCTCTCCCACATAAACACTTTTTTGAAACGTTATAAAGCACAGTGTCTTAACCATCTCGATATGCGCTATCCACAACACAAAACCAATGTTGTTTGAATGGAGATTTGCACACATGAACGTAGCTTTGTAGTAAACTGGAAAACTAAATCCACTATCTTTTCTCCTACAAAGCAACATTTGTTTTAGCTTTTTGCTTTAGACAGATACATTCGCTAATGACTCATGTATTACAGCAACATCTTGTACAAATATTGCAATCATGGTAATTGCATTAGGGATTCCTACTGTTAATGCGTCTCGGACGTGATGCCGAGAGACTTGTACGTAGAATCGTGTAACTAATGTAGGATGAAACTCGGATCATTAGAAATACTTTTTTTAAAACTGATCTTTAACACCAACCACGTTGATCTCTCTCCGTTGACACAATAATCCGGATATGATTCTCTCTTTTTTATAATGATTCCATGTGATGACCCCTTTTCTAACAAGGCGCACTTCTTATTTCAGTCTCATTTTCTAACGAAATAATGCATGTAGTTTTAGATTAATCCTTTCCAAATCACCAAGTGTAGAATATATCATTTCTCAGCTCATTTCAGATACAAGTTCTGAACTTCACATATATGAAGAGCAAATAGTTAAACTATAAAATCTTTAAAAATATATTTAATCAATATACTATATTGAATGAATATATTTTTAAAGATTTTATCGTTTCAAGGGAATGTTATTTCGGTAGCTTTAGATCGACTTTTTAATGATCTAGTTTACATCACGATGTTTAGTATATTGGATTAGAGGATCATACTTTCAAAGATACTTTATTCGTTTCTACAGCGGTTTTTGAACAAAGAAAAAAGACTTACTAACGCCCACATGTCCAAGATCATAGTTACTTAATGTATTATTTCCAATAGCACCCACTAATACCCACCAACGTCAACAACTAGCCCCAGACTCACAAAAAACAGCGAGTATCGTCCAGTGCATCTCGGTCAATTTACTGGTCGATGCATACAGATGCAGATAAATTTTTCTCCCGATGCAGCTAGATAGCACTGCTCGTGAATTCACAGTTTCATGGGGAAGAACTCGGTGCATTCAAATATATTGGGCAACACATCGCCGATGCAGTTAGCTAACTCGACGCTCCAGCTGGAATATTTAGGTAAAAGAGTAAAAAATATCGACCGATGCTGCAGCTAGATATTTCGGCTGGAGTACTTTTGCTTGGGGCATATGTTAATTGTTTGATGATTAAAGATGTTTTAATACATATTTGTTATATATAATGTCGCATTAAACAGGTGACATGAGCAGCAGGGCTAGATGCACCGGTTATATGATCGGACTCTTGGGAGATTTCCCAAGATTTTTTAATATACTTTAAGCTACGGAGTTCGAGTTTGTTTTATTTTAAACTAGACATCTAACTACGTGGCCTGACTGGCGCCGAGTATTCAATTAGATCTTAGTTTTTTGTCAAATCGAGGTTTTCTATAAAACCAGCAAGCGTTTTTCGGGTTTTTGAGAATATTCTCTGTAGACACTTGCTAACATTTGCCAAGAAGTGGAAAGATAGAGACATTTCTTGTTCATTTACCTGTATTAAGGCATCGCTTCACTGTTCTCAATAAATCTTTTTTGGACTCCATGTAAAGAAAAAAACGAAAAAACATTTAAACAAGAAGGACGCTGAACGATTATAAAAATCGCTCTGGAGTTTCAATTTCTTTAAAAATATATTCCGCTTTTGATTTTCAAGTTGTCCATATGCGACTTCGCCGGGAATTTTGAAGTTTAAAAAGCGTCGTTGATTTTATGCCAAATCGATTGATTTTCTAAAGTATTGCTTTTGATATCACTGAAAAATTAACAACGATTTTCCAAAAAAAGCTGAATTGATTTTCCAGAAAATCCAGTCACGTTTTATGGAAAAGGTTTGAATTTTCTTGCAAATCATGTTTCCAAGAAAGTAGAAAATCTCTGCTGAATTCGTAAGGTGTCGGAAATTCAAAAGTACCGTGACAAAAACGAATCTAGTCGAATTATACATGGCTAGATAGAGTTCGCCGAGCTGATCACGAATATGAGCTTCAAAAATTTTTTAAGTCAAACGAACGGCAGAACAAGTTGAAAAACGAAAACATCGTCTGTTTTCTTGAAATAGAAGGTTTTCACCTGTTCAAACTAAACTCGCTTGTAGTACGCTACTATGAGACGCAAATAAGTGTTTCACGAAATTTCATATCGTTCCATATCACTCTGAAATGTTTAGGACGAAAAAACATGCTATCTTCTTCGCATAAATACTCTCTTCTTCTGATCTTTTAAGTAGAATATCAGACTGAATAGTAGCCTTCCGTTCCGATTGGATTAGGAAGAACCTTGCTTACTTCTACTAGTGTTCTTATTACGGTCTTATTTATTGGTTTCGTTTGCTTCTCTCTTTCTCTCTTCCTTTCTCCCATTCTCTTTCGCTCACATTACTTAGAGCCAGTCTGCCAAAGTGAGTTGACCACTTCAGCTTACTATAAGGTCTATACATTCCCTAACTGTCCTATCCTATCATCATGCCTAAACACAAAAAGTAAAAAGCCCACGCTCTATCTGCGGCAGCTGCTTCGTCAGTAACGCGAAAAGAAGGGGAAGTGAAGGACGTTGAAACTTTCGAAGACGAAATCGAAGAAGGTGAACTGAAGACTATGAGTACGGAGGGGGAGAACGATCATGATGATGATGAAGAAGAATACAATCCGCAGAAAGATGATACGACATTCAAAGAAAAGCTCGACTTGTCAGCTATAGCAGATCTTTCCGGCACCTTATATGGACAAGCTAAAAATCTTTATTTATTTTCTTTTAACTTATTTTCAAGTTTACAGTGCAGATCGCTATTCGGATCATTTACGTCGTCATGTGTAAACAACGGATAATGAACAGCATGGTGATGATAAAAGTGAAAGTGATTGTGATAGTGGAAATGAAACAGAATTAAATGAGGAATTAAGAGCAAAAACGAAAAATTTCTGTGTACCCAATTACTGGAAACAATCAATCTGACATTGAGTGATTTCTACTTCGATATGAAAATTAATGACGAACATAAATTTCCTCATAAACAAACAGCGTGTTGGTTATTAACTGGTAACAATACTCGTTTATCATCAAATAGATTAACGCTAGTAGTCGAGACGAGTAAAGCATTAAAAATGAAAAGCTTTTTGTATATTTGTTTATGAAATATATGATATCTTCCATAGTTGTTTTAAGTTGAACGAGCATCTGCATTGAGCGAAATATCACTATTTTATTCTAAAAGAAAACAACACATTTCGCCACTTCGGACCATCATACGGAGTGCCAGACCTATTGGAACTTTTGGAAAGTAATTCGAATTAATTTAAAAAAGTCTCATATTAAATTTATTTTTTTCTGATTAAAAATTAAGTTTTTATTGATTTAACTTGGTAAAATAATTCAAATCAATTAAGTTCTAACCAATTCGACTTAGTTTATCAAGTTAAATCAATTAAAAATTAATTTGACCTAATTTAACATGAGACTTTTTCGATTAGTTCGAATTAATTCTCAAAAGTCCCAATGGGGAGTGCGGTAGAGTGTGATTTATTCCACGAAGTGGCTGAAGTGCGCTTTTCTCCCCTTGGATTCAATGGTTAAACGGTGTACTTGGGTAGATATTTGTGGTGGATGGCTTAAGAAAGGTGGAGCAATTTCCTTGTGTGAAAGAAATGAAAATATGTTCTTTGGAATTATCAAAACAGTTTACAAACGAGATGATGCACACATGTCCAATCGTTTAGACTATAGAAGATTTCGCGAGATATTTCAAGAAAATATCTCTTTTTCCAGGTTACTGAGCTACGGATCCTATGTTTCACATGTATCTGCTGAGATACACTTAGAAAATTCACTGAGTTTTAAAATTTTCCAACACAACTTTTGCCTAAAGCAATGAATTCTATGATAATTGAATGTTGTATGGCTTTGAGGTAAGATGCTCCTCAGAAACAGCGGTAAATGAAGGACTTAGAGGGTTTGGAATAAAAACAGGAATACCAATAAGAAAATATCTTGGTTTCGAAAGCGCGTGAAAGCAACATGAGCTTTCGATCAGAATTTATATAGCAAAGTACAAAAGGATAAAACAAATTTAATAAACAATGAAAAAACTCTATAACCGGTCATTTAATAAATCTCTCAAAAAGTTTTAATGGTAATGAACATTAGTCAAAAAGAGAATTCTATTAAATGGTCAGTTTTTTTCGATGTGGTTTCCTCAATTAGAAAGACGTTCTGATATTATTTCTTGTGCCTGATCAATAAACGCTAACCTGCTTTGGTTAAATTCGATAACAGCTAAAAGTCTCTCGTGTGCTTTATCATATAATGATTGTGCTTCCACATATTGCTGATTTCTCTGATTATCAGCAGCCCTTTCTGTATAATCATCAATGAACTCATCACATGCCATTGAACATATTTGCCGAATTTTCAATACTGTCGTATTTGTAATCAAATTTGCTGATGGAAACTTCTTTGAGCGAGGTAATTGATCCCACCAATTGTGATTAACATTAGAAAAAATATGGCACGAATCAACTTGTTGATTGTTTTGTATAACAGTATGAATTAATTGTTGTATATCCTGTGTTATCTGTGCATTGTTATAGAATATTATAACAACAACAAATGTTATGTTCAATGTGTTTTCAATATATTGTCGACATTGGTTCGTATTATGACATATATAGCAATACCTGTAAAATGGCCGTAATTGTTGTGTGGGATTATTGAATATGTTTGCTAGATCAAGGATAAAGATTCTCTGATCTTCATCAAAAGCATTGTATGGATGTGTTCCAGCCATATAATCCCTCACGTCCGTCGATTTTTAAATGGACCAACGTCAGTTTACCTAGAAAAGTTGAATAAAGTCCGTCCAGAATAAACTAATCGAAATATCATATCTTCTCAAAGCGTGCTACATTTTATAAAATTGATGCGTTTTTCGTATGAACAAAGCCAAAAACATTTTTAATTAAAGGACGAAGGCGTATTAGAGGGAGAATCGACTCACTCGAATTTTTCGATTTCCAATGACTTATTAGAGAGGTCACGTTTCCATTATTCTCTGTTCCCAAGCGAAAACAGGTAAACCAAAGGGTGAAAAGAGTTTTTTTTCCACCAGCATCATCTTGCTGTCCATCTAGTTAGTCATTTAATTATTTCTCTCTCTTGACTAAAACAGTAGCTAAAATTCATTCGGTCACTGCTAGATATACGATGAAAAACGGAATTGAAAGACATCCAAATCATGTCTTCACTGTTATTTGTTAAAAAAAGGCAGATCAAACGTTTACATGTACATCAGAAAATCACGCTATCTCATTTTTTTTGACCTTTTCTCATCACCATCCCAAAATAAACGCCAGATTCGTGATCTACATAAAATTCTGTCGAATGACATGCTTGACTCTAATTTTCCGATCAAAAACGTTTCATCGAAAATTTAGAACCTTTGATCACAAATAACAAAAATAAAAAACAAAAATCTGGAAAATCGTCTGGAGGCTCGAGATTTCTGATGAAAATTTTTTGATCGAAAAACTGGAGTCAAGCATGGTATTCGACACCTACATTTTACGTGGATCATGCATCTGGCGTTTATTTTGGAATTCTGATGAGAAAAAGTCGAAAAATGTGAGACAACGTGATTTTCTGATGTACAGTTCAACTTGTATCGAAAATAAAGATATCAGGGCAAACTTTTTAAGCGATAATTTTGTTCTATTTCTGTAGCACTTTTCACGTCTATCGATTTGCACTAAGAATGGTTGGTGGTTGAAGTTTCCTTTGTGTGAAAAAGCGTCGAAAACGGTCAAGACATGCTGATCTCTACATTACGTTGAGTTTGATAGATAAATATCCTCACCAGTACATGCTTTTAAACTATTTTTTTTACATATTCTTGTAGCATTTTTTAATGGCCATCGATTATATTACGAATAAATTGCTGTTGAAGGTTGCATGACTAAGGAAAATACGAAATATACCAGGGATGATGATATTGTTAGTGATGAAAATGCGTTTTGTGATTTGAAATCATAGTTCTTTTTATTTCCAAGCCTTTATGTACAAATTTTCTTGAGCAGTTCAACGAGCTCTATCGATTTGTGTACACAAGAAATCCCGTTGTTCGCTTTATATGCCGAAGAAAAATTATTAATAGTAATTCAGCATTATAAAGGCCATGGATTTCTAAGATTTCAACATATGGAGAAATACGTAAAATTGAATTCTCTATTCAGCTGTGTAGATATAAAAACAAGCTCAGAAGGGGTCGATTTCTTTAGGATCTTCAAACCCGTCTTTTGATTAATTATACTCTTTTCCTGAATTGTCTTTTCAATTACACAAAAATAGCTCATCAATCATGTCTTCCCCGAGCCTTTCTGAGTCTCACAGAAGTAAATCTTTTAAAGCTTGCATGATTTAAACGAAACTACAGTTAGAGTCAGGAGAGAGGAAAGCGCAAACGATCATTCGTTTTTCTTTGATGTTCGTTGTTTCAGAATTTAGTACAAATAAGAAAATTGCATATTTATAGAATTTTCTTTACAAAATTAAAGTTTATCTTACTTTTATGCGTTTTCAGCTAATATGCAACATTCAGTATAAACTAAAATATTATTTAACTAAGGTACAATATACATAAATATCACATTTCTGTCGAAAACTAAAAGTCTATATGTTTGGTTTCTAAAACAAAACAAATCAGAACCATTCAAAACAGTGAAGAGCTGAAATTATATTGAAAAACTGCAAAACTAAACTCTAGACGATATAAAAGAAAAGTTGTTGATTTAATATTTATTGAAAAAATAAGGACAACATTTATATTTTAAGAACTTATTCAATGAAAAAATCGCGATAACTTTTACAAAAAGGGAACAGTGAGAGCGTAAAAAAGTGTCTGCAGACAAGAGGAGTGCAGGTTTGAAGTGACTAAGCTGAAATACCATTTCTGGTATAACTCAACTGGAATTTTAAAGCGCCAGCATGGCTAAAATGTGAAAGAAACGATGTTATCCCTTGCAGTTGGTTGAAATGTTCCAAATTCTTATACTCCTTTTTTAATAAATTAATACAAGATACAGACATATCTCAGAAGCGATGTCCAAGCGTCAATTTGCTTTAGAATAGCTATCTATGCAAAAACTGGATTTAACTAAGTTGTGATGCAAGTTTTCTTCGATCCAATCTTAAAGAATATATTGAGCATGTTTCGAATATCATACTATAATGTCAAAAAGCTTTCGCTGCTAAGCCATCTTCTACGTTCTCAATCTAATCGTTTAAGAAATCTTGAAGAATGATTATTGCGTCGCTCTAACAGATAAATCTTTTATAGTTATCTCTGTATATTCTTTAAGTTGGGAATAATATTTTGTTGATATATTATAGTACAATTTTGCTTGACTATAATTCTTCGATTCAATATACTTTTCGCCGATATCTTGGTAATATTGTGCAAGATCATGTTTTAATTTAAAGAATAGATGATCTAATGTATTACACATTAACTTTACCTTCGAATATTTCTGTTTTGACCATGGTTTATGATCAACAACAATATCCGGTGAGTCGGTATAAATATAAATAGAATAAGTTTCCTTCATAGTTTCAAATTTTTTTAATAATTGGTCAGCTACTTCGTCAGCTGCTAGCATAACAAAGAATACAATTTTGTCTGCCACTTCTGATTGTATTCTATTTACAGTTTCGGTCCTGTAAATAAAATATTGTTCCTCAAATGTGTTGACATGTGCTCTTATACTTTGTATTGTAGTTGAATCAAGTACGAAGCATAGTACTGGGTGTACATCATCTACAACTGAAAAATCCAATTATAGGGTATCTCAAATAAATGAAGTATAAACTTCGCTATACCCATCATGTGTTCTCTCGGATCAGTGATCGACAATATTTCTGCTGTTTTAACTGAATCAGTATTTGATATTTCGACATATGTTACACCATCTAGAATATAATATAAATGATCAAGTCGAAATACATATAGAATTTAATATCTCACCAATATCTGGAACACAAATATCAGCAGTATCGTAAACTGATTTTGAGTTCATTGTAATTATGTCTTGATCAAAACCTATGGAAATGCACAACGAAAAAGAAGCTAAATGGCTTCACCAAGCGTAACGAGAAGTACATCTTTTCAACACGGATGGTTTTTAATTTTCACTTTAATATAACTCATTTGATCTACAAGCAAAAAATCGTTTTCTTCCACAAAAAAATTATAAACATCTTTAAGACTTTTGACTTGTTTTTAAGACGTCGGATTCTAGCTATCTCTTCGTTTCAAAATCATACGGAGCGCAGTTTTGAAAACCATGAAAATGTAACGTGGCCCGCTGATTTTCTCAGAATAAATATCAGAAGGCTAGTTCTATCAAACAATCAAAGCAGAATTTTGGCATCTTTTGAAATTATAAAGATAATGGAAAACGCGTTTTCTCAAAATATTCGGAAAAACCACTTGAGCCGAATATATTTTTTTCACTAGCATGGAAGACAACGATTCTCTACAAAACTACACGTCTCCCAGCTCAGGCAGACATTCAGTTGAGGCGCTGTGAGCTTCATAGTTTTCGATGATATTTTTTGCCGTTTCTCCTCATATCTTTAGTAAAAATTATGTAATTTCTTAACGAAACTCTTCCAAATCTGGAAGACCTCTTATTTTGTAGAGAATCGTTTGTCCTGTCTTTCCATATTAGTGCAAAAAATATATTCCGCTCAAGTGGTTTTCCGAATATTTTGTAAAAACGTGTTTTCCATTATCACCATCATTTGAAAAGATGCCAAAATTCTGCTTTGATTGTTCGATAGAACTAGCTTTCTAGTATTTATCCTGAAAAAATCAGCGGGCCACGCTACCTTTTCATAGTTTAACTGCACGCCGTATGATTTTGAAACGGAACTAGAATCTGGAGTTACGTCATGTTGTAGCCTATTGTGTCTAGCATTCACAGTAAAATTTATGAGGTTATCGATTACAAAGGAATGAAGCAGCATGCAAAACACTAAACAGCGGTAAAATGTGTCTTTCAGGAAAATGTTTCGCAGCTTTTGGAAAATTGAAATAACCCAAAAAATTTCACTCTAGTGAAAGTTGATTGTGTATGATTGGTCATGCAATGGTTCTGATTAGAAAATTCCTTAAGTGATAAAACGATTTGTATTAAAAGTAATGTGGGTCGATGATGCTGATCCCAAATATGGCTGTGGGACAGCCTTTGTGACTCATGACCTACAACCATTTAGCTAACCATACAACATCCTTATCGTCAATTTATCGGAAAGAGACGTGAACGTGGTTGATGACATACCCATTTTATGTTGAATTTGTGTAAGTTGTGCTAACGTTTGATTCAAATTTGGATGATAGGATGGTAAACATTTTGCTTGTATTTCTAGCCCTTTAGCTAAACTGATTAACGCGTTTTGGTAGTCATTCTTTACAAGATATATTGAACCAATTTTTGAATAAGTCAGTCCGATGTCAGGATGACATAATTGTTTGTCTAAAATATTTTTATAACCTTCTAAAGCTTGATCGAACTTTCCATTTTTTTGTTGTATTTCCGCTACACGAACAAGTAAATGGATAATATCAGTTTGTTTTTCGGGTAATGTGTTTAATATTTGTTTAAAATATTCTTCGATTTTCGAATATTCACCAAGGTAACACATTAGTTTAGCAAACAATAATCTTATATTATCTTCATTGAATTGTTTTTTAGCCAGATCAATATAATCTTGAACAATTTCGAATGTTCTAACCATTTTCGTTGACTGGTTCTTCGTCATACACAATTGAAATATCCATAATTTAGTTTTTTTATCATAATCCATCATTTGTATTTCGAATACAGTACCCATATCAAATAAAACTTCTTTTTCTTCAGGATATTCACTAGCGTCAGCTATATCAGCAACAACGACTGACTGATTGACTAATATACATTCAATTTCAAATAGAACACTATTCAAATATTCTTTATTTGCTGATCGTCCAGAATAAACAAGTGCTACGTCACGACTTCGACTTGTTGATAGAAAACCATTAAATGAAATAATATTACCAATATTCAATTTTAACTTTTCTATTTCATTCATTGACATTGTCAAACCACGGTAGACTTTCAATTTAGCTTGTTTCAAGTGTTTACATGATTCCAACAGCAGTTGACGTAAATCATTTATATAATAACCGAATGCATTTAATTTTTCATGATCATGTGTACGTAATGCTTTATTAACAAGTTTATGTACAAATGAACTTTTAGAATACCAAACAATTGATTTTAAAGCGCAGTAGTTCTGTTCAAATTCATCAATCAAAGCTAATTGTCGTTTATTATCACGATAATAATCTCTACAAATTTCCAGTAATTTTTTATGTTTTGTTTCACCGACGCTTGTTTGTTCCTTCAATACTAATGGCAATAATTGATTCCACAAAAATAAGGCCGTTTGTCTGGTTAATTGCTGTGAACGAATATCAAGAAAATAGAAATTTGCATACGTTCTCAACTCGGTTCTGTGATGCACACCAACGATGAGATCTTTTTCTGTATCGTAAACTTCCACTAGTTTTGCATGTTCATCTCGTAAAGCTAAATATTTTTCACGTTGCATACAATAAATAAATATTGAATCTATTTGATCTAACGAATTAAATACAGATAGATATTGTTCTGCATATGAACCTGACAAGATAAGAAATATTCTTTCATGAAGCTTTTTAATGGCATCCAAACATTCTTGATAATCAGAGTAACAATGTGTTGTATCATTGATCTTATTTATCAGGTCTCTATATATATATGCATTTGATCGCGTGAGAGTTTTATCAAGCCAAACGACAGTTATATCTTCTTTATTTGAACGAATATTCTCTAATTCGGCATGGCGCTCTCTTCCTAAAACAAAAATAAACTGACATAGTAGTCATGTATTTTTTCCGGTGTTTTTTGATAAGCGATACTGAGTAGAAAATGCAAAAGTCGAACTAGGTGATCATCGCAGCTTTAGTCGTGAACTGATTCGGCAAATGACCTACCAAATCTCTAACGTTTTGAATTCTAGTGTATTTGTTCAAAATACTTCGTTAGATCAGCAAAGTGGAATGTATGGAAGCGAGTTTAAACAAGAATGACGATTTTGGTCAATTTTCAGCTTCTATAAAAACCTGTTTTCCTAAAACTAGACATCGCCGCTTATATTGTCGATTAGTACACTCTTAGGATTATCTCTGATAATACATCTGGAGATTACATTATTTCTAGCCTTGGGAAATCTCCCTTCGGAGCTAGCAGGTTTGGGGAAATATTCTAAACATTTATCGTTTTCTCGGCATTAAACTTCAAAACACACATCAGATTTGTGATTTACCGGAGAAACCGCATCGAATGGCATATTGAACAAATGTCTTGTAAGGATTCTTCACTCGACTCTAGTAGCTAGAGGTCTAGTCAAATCTCGTTCTCAGATCCTTTCGAGTCTTCTTTCTTTACTATTTCTTTATTTCTTTATTTCCACTTAGTCACACGACAATTAGTTTTCTTTGAAAGGTTAGTCAGTACTCATTTTCTTTTCGTGAATATATACATTCATTTTTTTCGTCATAGACTGGTTTTCTTTGTGTTTATTTTACTTTTATTTTTCAGTTTTCCTTTACTACACATATAGATTATATGTATGTTCATTTTCGTTCTAGTTTTCTTTCTTCTCGTGTTATATATTTAATCTCTTAGTTTTTCAGTCTGAATTGTTATTCATGCCATTCGTATTTTGCATTTTTTCAAATATATTCGTAGTATCACTAGTATTCATCCACACACTCGTTCGCCTTACTTATTTTATTACTGTGGTCTCTTTTATCTCTTCGTTGAGTGATATCATCCACTAACAGGCCTGGGTAGACCGACTTTCTAGAGTTTCCCCATTATTTAGACTCACCGAAGGATAGGAGAGCTGACAGTTGGGGGCCTGGCCATTTTCTTTTGAATATTTTGATCTTCTTTCTCGTTTCTATCGATCTCCCATCTATTTCATCTGATTATTATCGTTAATCGTAATTACTTACGACATTAGTCATTTAGTATCTTATTCGCATTAAATTAACAACACGGGATTAAACAAAAAAATATAAAAAATAAAAAAAAATAATTATTATAATTACAAAAAGGTATGTTAGATTTAATTAGTATTTTTATTTGTGTATGCTAAATTCGCCTTACTTATTTTATTACTGTGGTCCCTCTTATCTCTTCGCTGAGTGATATCATCCACTAACAGGTCTGGATAGACCTAGTTTCCACAGTTTCTCCATTATTTAGATCACCGAAGGATAGGTGAGCTGACATGTCTCTTGAATAAAAACTTTCATCGACATTTTTCAAAAATCATATAAACTCACGCATTTTTCAGAAAAAAAAACATTTCTGTCCAGAAATGTTTTGCTTCAGTGTGATACAGATTCCTGGTGCCAGTATACACAAATATGCCAAAAATTCAGTATTTCGAGCAAAAAATGTCTTTTGCTGAAAAGTGCCTGAGATGGATGAAAATTTTTGATGAACTTTTTTATTCAAGAGACATTTGTCTATAATATGCCATTCGATGTGGTTTCTCCGATAGATCACGAATCTGATGTGTGTTTTGAAGTTTAATGCCGAGAAAACGATAAATGTTTAGAATATTTCCGCAAACCTGCTAGCTCCGAAGGGAGATTTTCCTAAGACTACAAATAATGTATCTCCAGATCTATTATCAGAGATAGTTCTATGTCTGTGCTACTTAGAAATATGCATACTAATAGTCGAGAATAGGGAGGGAATTTATTATCTCATAATTGGTAAAAACCCGCCATTTTACAAAAATGTTCTTCAAAGTTTGTTGTTTAAAGAGTTGTTCAAACCCTTGGCGATCGTTAGTGGTATGCAGAAATAAAAAATATACCATTCAGTAAGGCTTAAGAAGCTGATTCTTAACCACTAATTTGCATTCAATTTGCTTTTGGTACCACGCCATATAATATTGTTTACTTTAGCCTGTTTTTGATTTTTTGTGAATTTTCGAATATATACTGTCCTCTATGTATAAATCTCAAACTGTTGGTACACATACCACTTTGATCAGCAGTGGCTAAGCTCTAGTGAGACTAGTCTAGCCTTTCATGAGAATTTAGGATACATTCCACCAGAATTTAGCAAACATTTGTACCCTAAATTTCCCAAACAAACATTAGCTATGAGAAAAATCTAGATACATTTCGTCTGTAATCGGGCGATACACCACTAGTCGTCATCTCGATTACTAGTTAGAAAACGGACTTCTAACCAGATGTGTCTGCATGTGTAACTGGAAATAGTTAAATCGATCATTTATCGGATGATAAATTGATCATTGCAACTAGAAGAAATCTAGCAATTCCCCAGTTACTAGATTTCCCATGTCGTTACCCAATAGTTGCAATCGAATAAAAATCTAGTGGTCTAGATGAATCGGGCGATACTAGATTTCTTTTTGACGCTTGGTAATGTAAGCAATGTTGGTGTTTGGATCATTCTAGGTCTAGACTTTTTTCCTACAGTTCATCAGAATCTGTATCAGACTATTGACTTGATAAGTCATATGATCAATTAGTCTTCCAGTTGTGCATTTTGTAAAGAAGTGTGTTTTCTAAGTCTCTTTGTTGTCTACACGATTTAAAACGTGCCATTAAAGCAAGAGTGGGTTACTAAATTCTGACAGAGATATACTCCAGTAAGAATTTTTCACCCAGCAGAATTCAGAACCTATACACTCAGCTTATTTTTCTTACTGGAGTATATCTCCGTGTGTGTCCGTGTGTACATCCATCACACCTAGCAGAATTTAGTGAAATAGGCACCAGAATTCTTTGCAGTGTCGGAGGAGTCGGGGGGGGGGGGGGGGGGGTGGGTGGGGGGTGGGGAGAACCCCGGGGCCGATGTAGGGGGACAAGCGGTGGGGAAATTGGGGAGTTTTTGGGGGGGTTGTGATATNGTGACCAGTGAGTGTGACGGACGTACATACAAATAGTCAATGTGACGGTGTGACGGACGTACGTACATATAGTGACCAGGGAGTGTGACGGACGTACACACAAATAGTCAATGAGGTACTAAGAAACATCCCGTCAGAATTTACGCTCAAAACGATTGCTAAATTCAGAACTTTTTCTCTCCTTATTCAAATTTCTCTTTTCATATTGGAACATTGAATTCTGCTTTAACTATGCTAAATTCTGGATAAAATTGTAGAATCAATAAGTCTAGGAACTCACCAGCCCCTGATAGTAGTACTAAAGGTAGAATACTTATTATTAATAGCAACTCTTAGCAACGTATTGTTAGTGAGAAAAAGCTCTGACCCTGAGCCCCTTTTTCGACAAAAATCGAAAATGTCGACCGCGCTCTCAACACTACACCGATTTTTTAAAATATTTTAAAGGACATTCTCTTGATCAGAATTTGATGCTCTTTCGAATGAGTATTAGAAGGCTTTTCAAAACCGATTTTTCCAGCCTGCGCATTTGACAAATCTTTGAAATAATAGGTTGCAGTTCCAAAACTTCTGCTGTAGGCAACAAGCTGGTGGGCGTAGAACAACAAATTTTTAAACATACTTTTAACCTCTGCAGACTTTTGGGTAATTGAAATTTGGTTTTGATTTGTCGTCCTTGTTAGATTATTGATTCTGTTTTCTAAGTCATTGAGCAGTAATTCAGCATCAACATCAACATCAGCTAACATTTGCTGAGCATACATATAACAATCTATAGCTAAGTCAGCTTCATCGCCATTTTGTTCGAAGTTATCACCTAACTGTCTATAATACTGTGCAATACGTTTTGTCATATCCTTCGCTAGTGGATGTAAATCATCATAGATATTATGTATTTTTTCAAATTCTGCTGACCATGTTTTATTGGTCTCAATATTGCCGCAATACACGAAAATTGTATTCAGTTGTTTTAAACCATGTATTTTTGGCACAATATCTTGTCCAAATTTACCAGATGTTATCAAAAAAATTGTTTTATCTGAAGATTCTTCAACAAATGTCATACATTGTTCTTGATTGTCGAAAAAAGTGTATTCAAGACTAATTCGTCCGAAAGCTTCCGGAACCGTAGAAATATAATTATCAAGCCAAATACAAAGCAAGCTTTCGTGGACGGATCTGAACGACGTGATCTTTGTGTTAGATCCATCAACGGATATTCCAGCCATTTTTCTAAAAGCAATAATCCAGTTTTGCGTGTATACATTCTGGAAAGCATATTTAAACATTTAGTCAAACTTTAGCAATCGTTCTTTAAATTTACTTCTGTGGCATCTAAAAGCTTTTTCGACTTTTCTTCTCAATAAAAGTTTTGCTTTTATAAGGATCTCTTATCAGTTTTTGACTCCGTTAAATGTGTTCTTTGTCCGAAACCGGTTATAACTTCCGATGAAACTGACCAACCGCGGCGATTGAAATTTTTATCAGAGATGCGGGATTTATATAAGCACTATAAAGATCAGCCTGTTCGGTCTTAAAGAAACGCTTTTGAAGCGGATATACCGTGACACGACATTACCGCGAAGACCCGTTTATTGGATCGGGTTTTTAAATAATAGCTTTTTCGTGGATTCTTTTGCCATTAAAATTTTTCTAAACACTCACATTTGTAGAGCAAAGGCTTCTGATGAAAATAAGATCTCGTACAACTCTGTATGACCTTGAATCAAATTTGATCGTTAACATTAGGAGGCTTTTACTCATTTTATTTAAACAGAACACGGAAAAGTAGAAGAAAAACAGTAACTGAACTGAAAAACATCTAAAGTGAACTCTATAATAAGAATGTTTACTATTTACACTCACATGTTTACTTTACACCACATTGACTATTTGTGTGTACGTCCGTCACACTCCCTGGTCACTATATGTACGTACGTCCGTCACACCGTCACATTGACTATTTGTATGTACGTCCGTCACACTCACTGGTCACTATATGTATGTACGTCCGTCACACCGTCACGCGACTATATGTATGCACGTCCATCACACTCACTGATCACTATATGTATGTACGTCCATCACACTCACTGGTCACTATATGTATGTACGTCCGTCACACTGTCACACGACTATTTGTATGTATGTCCGTCACACCGTCACACGACTATATGTATGTACGTCCATCACACTCACTGGTCACTATATGTATGTACGTCCGTCACATGCGGACGCCGACGCCGACATTTATTTCATATGACCCTAGACTTTCAGTCAAGGGAATATACGGGTAGAGAAGAAAAAAGATTAAAAAGAAAGAAAAATGACATCAAGCAAGACAGCGAGAAACGAAGAAATTTTATATTTTGCTGCAAATGTTCGCTGTACTTAATATAAAATTCTAGGTTCTGTCAACTTAACAGGTTAAAATAAAACTAACTAAGATGCACTCCTCTCTGATTTTTATGCCAGTCTGACATACCCAAGTTTTACTCTGTGTCAAACTATATTCAACATAAGTTATCACAAATAACTTTCTACAAGTACAAGAGATATTAACAATAAAATTATTGTTATATTAACTTTACTATGTGCTTTTACTTACGTCTGACTGGGATTATCTCGTTCTTAACATTTTTCTCAAATGGCTACGGCTAATAAAAATAATCGCACAACACAACGTAGTGAAACAGTTTTATTTTTTAACTCGAGTAGTTTCTTATCAAACATACACGAACCGATGAATAAGGTAGAGCTTCTAAAATTAGAAATTTTAAAATCCAAACCCATTATGATTGCGATTGTCGAATCGTGGCTTAAGTCTACAACGGATGATAGTCAATTGAATTTAGACGGGTATGATATGTTTGTAAGAAAGGATAGATTAGGCATGAGAGGAGGAGGCATTTTAGTTTT